ATAAAGAACTCAAGTTGGCATTTATAAAACATAGGAGACTTAGAATGCTCCGGGGCTTGCCCTTCACATAGGCCAAGGGTCTGTGATCAGGACACTCGGGCAGCTCCTCCTCAACCTGTCCTTCTTCTTTGGGAACCTCCTGCTATGGGATCTTCTGCGGAGCCTCCTCTCCTTTGAGCTCGAACTCCAGCAATGTCACTTCCTCCGTTGATCCTATATGTATGAATATATAGATAAATATAGAGAATGCGCAAGGGATGACATGAATGATAGGGTGCAATGCATGCATATATATACATACTCATTCCTAACAACAAGATGGCAAGGTGATGATAAGATTAATTTTACTTTACTGAGTAGGTGTGTATCTTCTCTCTAATACAAGAAACAAACACTCACCACGTTCTAGCAACCTAAGATAAAGTTGTTCATCAGCAGTAAGAGGCCTAAAACCTGCAGCTAATAACTTATCTTAATTAGCCTAGGCTTCTAAATAACAAGCATCAAGCTCACACTAAGCAAACAAGTCAATAGAACTAGATACAAGTGAATTATAGAGCAATAATTAGCTAGTTGCATACAACCACTCAAATCGAGACACAACCAATTGTACCATCAGATTATATACATCACAAACATGCTAGAAAGTATAATGGTTAAGCCCAAACAATTTATTAAAAACACTTATTGATTTAATAAGCATAGCAAGGTGAAATTTGGAACTGCTACTTCCAGTGCACAGTAAAATCCAGGAAAATTACAGCAGCCTATACATGCTCCCAAGAGTCTACTGTTCAAATTTCATGCCATTTGAATAAGTGTAGCAACCTCTATAAAAATGACAAGTTGCATAGGCTTATAACAACTTAAATAGGTTTAGTATAGTAAAAAGTGTCGAACAACAGATTTCCTATTTTTCTTACATTCCTCATAACACAAGAATGTTGTGAAAATTAATTCAAGCCCATATGTTACATAAATCTAAAACAATTAATTCCACAAGAAACTAGCATTTAATCAAGCTAAAATAAGAAGTCATATTCCAAGCATGCTTACTGTAGGTTAATATTTTTCCTAGCTATAGCATGTCAAAACATGACCAACAAAATTGGAATCACAATTTTAGCATCTCCCTAACTCAAGTTATGCATTTTATAAGATTAGTAGGCATTAAACAAAATAAATCCAAACAGGGTATAAAACGGTAACACATACCAAGTTTCATATTTTTATCAGATGGTACTCATCAAGATGAAGCTAACAAAATTTGGTTCACTCAATTTGGACACTCCTAGCTCCAGATATGAATTTTGCAAGTTTGCTACAATTTCTGGAAAACAAATAAAGAAAAACAACAAAACCCTGTTAAAAGCTAAGCACACCCGGTGCACTGCACCCAGAGGTGCTGACGGCTGGGTCCCGCGGTCAGCGTGACCCCACGCGTCATACACACAAAATAGAGGTGACGTTAGACCCGCGAAAGCTCGCTGATGGCGAGGTTTCCAGCGACACGGTCACTACCACTCGCTTCGCCTCGTCATCCCACATCCAGCGGTGTAGGTGGTTGAACCTATTACGGCCTCTAGCTAGGGCGGTGGCGCTCATGGCGGCTCGGTGATTCTCTGGCCATCTTCGGCCATGGCAAGCTCGGGCGAGCTTGGTTATGGCTTTAGGGTTACCTAGCAGAGGTCTAGGGTTAGGGTTTAGGGTCGCGGTGTCACCGGTGAGGCACGGCCGCATGCATGGCGGTGGCACGGTCGGTTCACGGCGGTGCACGTGCAGCGTTAAGCATTCAGCATGGCTGGTATTGGCCAAAGGCCAATGGCTACAACTAGCACTAACCATAGAGACTACGGAACAGGGGAGAGAGAGAGCAGTGTAGGTGCGAGGTGGCTTGGCCACAGTGAGCTCAAGCTCGGCGGCGGCGATGGTGGTCATGGCGGCGATTGTGGCCCTAGGGCCCTCACCTATGGATGATAAGCGTTGCGGCTAGGTTGGTGAGGAACAGAAGATCATGGCGAAGCTGTGGGTACAAGAAATTGGGCGGTGGTGCGGCGTGGGTGGCGAGCTTGGCCGGTGAAAACTTGGCGGCGGTGGCACGGTGCTCCTGTCCGCTTTGGCTGCATGAGAGAAAGCAAGAGTAAGGGAGAGTGGAAGTGAGCGTGTGAGGGGGCGAGCCCTCGGCCTTCGGCTCCTTTGGCATGACAACGCGGGGCCGGCACCGGTGTACGGCCGCCATGTGACGCGTTTGGCCTGGCCGTGGTCGGCAATGAACGGCCGATTCAAATTGGCTAAGGGTCGATTCAGTTCGTCTGAAACACGATCTTTGCGCCACCAGTTCTCCAAATCCGTGATGAATTTTGGCAAACCATTTTCACCACTTTGTAGAGCTACATGGGTACTCCAAGTTTGCTTAAGGAAGTTTTGTCTAATTCAAACTGGTTTGCAAACTAAAAATCACCAAAGGTGGGTACCTTGAAACTGTAAAGCAGTTTCAGACTTAAATTTTTTTGAGTTTCAAAACAGCATCAAGTTGAATTTTGGAAGCCCTATTTGACTAACTTAGGCACTGATTTAGCTCTTGACCTTTAAACAAAGTTTGTCCTACATGACATGAACTACAACTTTCATTTAGGGCCCACTCCCATGCAAGCACTCTAAGTAATTAGTCAAGATGGGTCAAACAATCAACCTAATAAAGGCAATTCTAGTAAAACTATCACTTAGAAGCATCTTTGGGCCAACTCATGAATCTAAATTTGGTTCCATTTTTCATTCTAAGTGTGTCTAAGTTGTTTTGGTGACCAAACAACATCCACTTGCATTAGCCAAGCATGACCATAAGGCATATACATGTATAAATTAAGTATCACATGTGATAAACATAGAGTGAATGAAATAAAATTTCATGTGCTCATGCTCATGAATGAATGGATGATGCTTATGCTCATGCAATGCAAGTGAAAAATGCAAGCTTAATACTATGGTGTTACAAGCGTCCTCAGCATCAGGAGGTCGACGACGTGCCTTATGAGGGTGTGGAGGAGGGGCATGATAAGACCTCTCCTCACGCACCACCAGCATACCCTCCGGCAATGCGGTGGATCCCAAGACCATGGCATGGCCATCGAGCTCTGATAGATCGACCTTGATGATCTTCCTTGTGGCCATGTTGAGCACCCTACGGCGTGTGGGTGTGGGCTCAAACATCAGCTCTGTTAGCAGGATCCACCTATGAGGTTGGAAGCGGTGGTCGACGACACGTGCATCGAGCTCATGGGGCTTCTTGGTGTCGGAGCACGTACCATTCAGGACATGACTCCGACAAGGGAAACACGCCCGAAGATGCTCTTGGACCTCCTCATGGTCGTCTCCGCCATGGTCGCCATGGCTCGTCGCTCGGTCATCGGAGAGAGGAGAGGTACGGTAGGGATAAGAGGGTTGTGGGGACTACGTGTCGGTGGAGAGTAAAAGAGGGATGAGTTGTGGCTGGTCGCTATGGCTGCCTATTTAGGTGAGTGGTTATAGGGCATGGAGGTGGGCTCGGTTTCTTCTCTCTAGCAAAAAATTGTCAGGTGCTAGGCGCAGATCCATATCCCTACATAAATCATGTTTTACGTGGCAATGCGTGTAGCGGACAGGAGCAGGCGGCAGTAGGGTTTAGACACGCTGCCAGCACCAGTACGCAGCCCACGAGCTTCGCTACCAGTGGTGGTAGGCAAGTGCACGCGAGAACCAATGACAAGGGGGGCAAACAAAACCACAAAGTTGTCATGTGGGTGAACCATTCACCACAAAGGAAAAGGTGTGTGTGAGCCATTCACCTCCAGTAGATCTACCTCGAGGACCTTCTTAGTGGTCATGCCGAGGGGGTTGCAGTTCATGGCCTTAGCCACCAGCTCCATCACGATCTACATCTGGGACCTTCGAAATCTTACTAACAGTAGTATGCTAATTTTTTTACCGCATGGAAAGAACTGATTTGAGATAGTGAGACTATATGTGGTCATCGTAGATGATACACTATATGAACAGGTGACATATATAGATGACTATCATCGTACCAACAAGGGAAGCATTTGAAAACAAACAATTTCACAAACTTCCACGTGACAGAGTTCATTACAATAACATTATGTCGAGTACAAGTTAATAACTAACTAGTTCACCAACTCAATACAAATTGACGACATTGAACTCAGCATGTAATGTCGAATACCCTAACTATCAAATTATTATAATGCAACAACAGTTTACTGGAGGAATAAAAACGTTACATAATAATATGACATCACAAGCCATAGTGCTCTCAAAGCATGTCGTTACTACTCGATGCCAGTGAGGGTAGTGACAAAGGAAGCTACATGCTCTGCAAGTCTACCCCATACTAAAGCTATATAGCCCGTGTGACGCCTACGAACTTGGAATGCACCAAAATGCCTTTGGTACCTTCTAAACCAGAAGTACATCGTGCCATGATCAACCGAGGAGTAATAGTTGGTTCCTGGCAAAAGCACCACACCTCGTGATCCGGTAAAAATAGCCCGTTTACCTAGGTCCCGGATTGGCAACAGCATTTCCTCTTGCAGATCGACATGGAATACCATGATCTATGTCTCTAGTAAGCTCCTATGGGCATTGAATCATACAAATTGCTCCTGACTACACACCACCATGAGCCTACCACCGTCATCCACCAAACTAACGGTATAGATCGAACTACCGCTCCACATGTCGACGACGACCACTAGCTATGGGCGTGGTCGTTGCTCCAGGTCCACCACCAGGAGCTCGGTACGATCGATGCAATAGAATTAGCCCTAGAAGGTAGCCATGGATCTCAATGGGAACGTCCAATGGGCGTCTCCAGGCTTAGCCACGGCCATCTGATTGATGTTGCCAAAGTAGACAACCACAGTGGGTGTGTCAGCGAAGCTGATGGTCGTCACCTCATGGCCCTCGTGGAACATGATAGGAATGGGCCCCCTATAGCTACCAGGCTACAGCGTCCTCAGCGTCGGGTGGTCAACGATGTGATGGGTGAGGAACTTGAGGCACATGACAAGAGTCCTCTCCTCGCGCACCACTAGCATGCCCTCTAGCGCCGTGTTGAGTCCCAGGACCATGGCGTGGCCATCGAGCTCCAGCAGATCGACCATAATGATCTTCCTTGTGGCCATGTTGAGCATATTGTGGTACGTATCCATCAGTAGGATCCATAGGCGAGGGTGGAAGCAGTGGTCGATGACATGTTCACCAAGCTCACAGGGCTTCTCGGTGCCGCTGCCGGCCATCCATAGCTTGCACACCAGGCGGAACCACGTGAAGTCCGCCACATTGTCGTCCTAGAGGTGGTCGACGATGGTCTCCACTGCCAGCGATGGTAGGCCAGCCCAGTCAAGCCTGTTCGTGCGAGAACCAGCGATGATGGGGATGACAAACATAAAATCATAAGCCAAGTATTTATATGTGACTGACTACACAAGTACCTAGAGAAGAAATCGATGGCAGATCTAGAGTTCTCTCACACAGATGAAATGGATCAAATTGCATGAGGGAAGGACAAAGGCCGAGAGCACGTACCATTTGGGACTAACTCCGGCAAGGGAAACACGACAGGCGATGCGCTTGGACCTCCTCACGATCATCTTCCCATTAGTTGTCACAGCTTGTCGCTCGGACATCGAAGAGGGGAGAGGTAGGGTGGAGAGAGAGGGTTGTGAGGGTTGTGTGCTGGTAGAGCGTCAAAGAGAGACGAGTCGGGGCTGGCAGCTGCAGGTGCCTATTTAGGTGAGTTGTTATGGGGCATGGAGGTGGGCCCATTTTCTTCTCTCTAGCAAAAAAATGGTCGGGTACTGGGCATGGATCCCAATCCCTACATACGTCACTTTTTATGTGGTAGCGCGTGTAGTGGCCACGAGCAGGAGGGGCCAGCATTTAGACATGCCGTAGGTGTCGAGCAGCAAAGTGTGTAGGTGTTGTGTGTGGCATCCGTGTTTTGCTATGAGCCAGTAGGAGCACCCCGCGTTGGTTGGGTGATGCCCTACCTTGGCCTACCTAGACGTGGGTGGAACTAGGTGACCAACACACGGTGTTGCCGAGCGTGACGAGGAGTGGGCCTTCATTTTGGAAACAACGCGTCTGCGGCTACCAAAACTCTGGGCAAACTTCTAGCCGATGGACGGACTAACCAACGGAGGCTACTCACGGGCACAGATAGTCCGCCATGTGGCACTAGTACACAGCCCATGACCTTCACAACCAGTGGTGGTAGGCAAGTGCACGCGAGAACCAACAAAGAGGGACAAACAAAACCACAAAGTTGTCGTGTGGGTTGACCATTTACCACAAAGCAAAGTTGTGTGGGAGAGACATTCACCACCAGTAGATCTACCTCGAGGACCTCCTTAGTGGTCATGTTGAGGAGCTTGCAGTTCATGGACCTAGCCACCGGCTCCGTCATGATCTACATCTGGTACCTTCTAAATCAGAAGTATATATATCTGCCGAGTGGTAACACTTAGTGCTTGGTAGAAATACTGCACCTGGTGGTCCAGTAAAAATAGCCTATCCACCTAGGAGGCACACGATGAGAGTCCTCTCACACACCACTAGCATGCCCTCCGATGCCGCATCGAGACCTGGGAGAACGGCGTGGCCATCGAGCTTCGGCAAATCGACCATGATGATCTTCCGGGTGGTGACGCTGAGCAGCTTGCGACGCGTGGGCGTGGCCTCAGGCGTTGGCTCCGTCATAAGGATCCACCATTGAGGGTGGAAGCGATGGTCGATGATGGGTTCACCGAGCTCATGGGGCTTCTTGGTTCCACTGCCTTTCATCCACAACTTGCACACCAAGTGGAACCGCATGAAGTCCGCCACGTCCCACCGTCCAGGAGGCGCCCAGCAACGTTCTCCACTGCCAGTGGTGGTAGGCCAGCCTAGTCACACCTAGTTGCACTAGAACAAGCAATGATGGGGATGAGAAACACAAAATCATGAGCCAAGTATTTATAAGCGACTGACTACACAAGTACACAGAGAAGAAAAAAACGACATATCTGGAGTTCTCTCTCGAATAGACGAAATGGATTTAATTGTGTGATGGAAGGACAGAGACCGAGAGCACATACCATTTAGGACTGACTCTAGCAAGGGAAACATGGCGCGCAATGCGCTTGGACCCCCTCACGGTCGTGTTCGCCATGGTCATCGTGGCTCGTTGCTCAGTCGTTAGAGGAGAGAGGCAGGGTGGGGACGAGAGGGCTGTGGGGGCTATGTGTGGTTGGAGAGTCGGAGAAGGACAAGTGGGGGCTGGTAGTTGCGGTTGCCTGTTTAGGTGAGTGGTTATAGGGCACAGAGGTGGGCCCGATTTCTTGTCTCTAGCAAAAAACGATCAGGTATTGGGCATGGATCCCTATCCCTACATACGTCACATTTTATGTGGCAGCGCGTGTAGCGGCCAAGAGCTAGAGATGGCAGGATTAAGACGTGTTGTAAGCGTCGCGCCGCAAAGCGTGTAGGCGTTGTGTGCGGCGTTCGTGTTTGGCTATGAGCGAGAAAGAGCACCCCACGTTGGTTGGGTGATGTCCTACCTTGGCCTACCCCAAGGTGGGTAGGACTAGGTGACCAGCCACAGTGTTGTTGAGCGTGACGAGGAGTGGGCCCTTCATTTTGGAATAGCGTGTCCATGGCTTCCAAAACTAGCGGCAAATTTCTGGCCGACGGGTGGGCTAAGCAGCGAAGGCAACCACCGAGCACAGCTAGTCGGCCATGTGGCACTAGTATGCAGCCTGTCATCTTCACTACCAGTGGTGGTAGGCTAGTGCATGCAAGAACCAACAACAAGGGGGACAAACAACCAAAAAGTTGTCGTGTGGGTGAACCATTTACCACAAAGCAAAAGGTGTGTGGGCGAGACATTCACCTCCAGCAGATCTACCACGAAATCGATGCGCGTCACCTCGTGATCCTCATGGAACACATTTGAAATTGGCCCTTGCGGCTACCAGGCTACAATGTCCTTAGCGTTGGGAGGTCAACGACGTGATGGGTAAGGAGGTTGAGGAGGCACATGACAAGAGTCCTCTCGTGCACCACTAGCATGCCCTCCGACACCGTGTCAGGACACGAAAGCACGGCGTGGCCGTCGAGCTCCGGCAGATCGACCATGATGATCTTCCGGGTGGTGACGTGGAGTAGCTTGCGGCGTGTGGGTGTGGCCTCAGGCGCTGGCTCCATCAGCAAGATCCACCGGTGAGGGTGGAAGAGGTGGTCGATGACGCGTTCACTGAGCTCACGGGGCTTCTTGGTGCTACTGCCTTTCATCCACAGCTTGCACACCAAGTGAAACCGCATGAAGTCCACCACGTCCCACCATCCAGAAGGCGCTCGGCGATGTTCTCCACCGTTAGCGGTGGCAGGCCAGCTAGTCACGCCTGTTTGTATAAGAATCAGCAACGATGGGGACGACAAACACAAAATCATGAGCCAAGTATTTATAAGCGACTGACTACACAAGTACATAGAGAAGAAATGAACGACAGATCTAGAGTTCTCTCTTGGACAGATGAAATGGATTGAGTTATGTGAGGTAAGGACGAAGGTCAAGAGCACAAACCATTCGGGACTGACTCCAGCAAGGGAAATGCGGTGGGCAATACGCTTGGACCACCTCATGGTTGTGTTCGCCATGGTCATCGTGGCTCATTGCTCTGTCGTTAGAGGGGAGAGGCGGAGTGGGGACAAGGGCATTGCGAGGGCTACGTGTCGACGGAGAGTCAAAGGATGAGTGGGGGCTGGCAGTTGCGTCTGCCTATTTAGGTGAGTGGTTATAGGGCATAGAGGTGGGCCTAATTTCTTCTCTATCAAAAAATGCTCGGGTACTCGGTACGGATCCCTATCCCTACATACGTCATGTTTTAAGTGGCAGTGCGTGTAGCGGCCTGGAGTTGGAGGTGGCAAGGTTCAGACGCACGAGTCGTAGAGCGTGTAGGCGTCGTGTGTGGCGTCCGTGTTCGGCTCTAAGTAAGTAGGAGCACCCCCATGTTGGTTGGGTGATGCCCTACCTTGGCCTACCTGGAGGTGGGTGGGACAAGGCGACCAACAACGGTGACATTGAGCGTGATGAGTGGGCCCTTTGTTTTGGAAATAGCGCATCCACGGCTTCCAAATCTTGCACCAAATTTCTAAACGACGAGCGAGCTAAGCAGCGAAGGCAACTAGCGAGCACAACTAGTCGGCCATGTGGCACCAGTACGCAGCCCACGACCTTCACTACCAGTGGTGGTAGGAAAGTGCGCGCGAGAACCAACCACAAGAGGGACAAACAACCACAAAGTTGTCGTCTGGGTGAACCATTTACCACAAGGCAAAAGGTGTGTGGGCGAGACATTCACCTCTAGTGGATCTACCACGAAGTCAACACCCATCAACTCGTGATCCACATGGAACACATTCGAAATGGGCCCCCTGCGGCTACTAGGCTACAGCATCCTCAGCGTCGGGAGGTCAACAACGTGATGGGTAAGGAGGTTGAGGAGGCACATGATGAGAGTCCTCTTGCACACCACTAGCAAGCCCTCCGACTCCACGTCGGTACCTAGGAGCATGGCATGGCCATCGAGCTCTGACTGATCGACCTTGATGATCTTCTGGGTGGTTATGTTGAGCAGCTTGCGACCTGTGGGCGTGGCCTCAGGCGCTGGCTCCATCATAAGGATCCACCGGTGAGGGTGGAAGCGGTGGTCGATGACACGTTCACAGAGCTCATGGGGCTTCTTGGTGCCGATGTTGTTCATCCACAGCTTGCACACCAAACAGAACCGCATGAAGTCCGCCACGTCCCACCATCCAGGAGGCACCCGGCATCGTCCTCCACTGCTAGCAATGCCAAGCCAGTCCAGTCATGCCTGTTTGCACAGGAACCACCAACGATGCGGACGACAAACACAAAATCATGAGCCAAGTATTTATAAGTGACTGACTACACAAGTACACAGAGAAGAAATCAACGACAGATCTAGAGTTCTCTCAGACAGATGAAATGGATTGAATTGTGTGAGGGGAGGACAGAGTCCGAGAGCACGTACCATTCAGTACTGACTCCAGCAAGGGAAACATGGCGGGCGATGCACTTGGACCTCCACGGTTGTGTTCGTCATGGTCATCGTGGCTCATTGCTCGGTCGTTAGAGGAGAGAGGCAGGGTGGGTACGACAGGGCTTTGGGGGCTACATGCCGGTGGAGAGTCGGAGAAGGACTAGTGGGGGCTAGGCTGGGGCTGCCTATTTAGGTGAGTGGTTATAAGGCATAGAGGTTTGCTGATTTCTTCTCTTTATCAAATAACAGTCGGGTACTCAGCACAGATCCCTATCCCTACATACATCACGTTTTATGTGGCAGTGCATGTAGCGGCCTGGAGCTAGAGGCGGAAGGGTTTAGACGCGCTATAGGCGTCAAGCCATAGAGCGCGTAAGCGTCATGTGTGACATCCGTCTTCGACTATGAGTGAGCAGGAGCACCCCGTGTTAGTTGGGTGATGCCCTGCCTTGGCCTACCCAAAGGTGGGTGGGACCAAGCGACCAGCAATGGTGTCGCTGAGCGTGATGAGGAGTGGGCCTTTTGTTTTGGAAACAACGTGTCCACGCCTTCCAAAACTAGCAGCAATTTTTTGGCCGGAGGGTGGGCTAAGCAGCGAAGGTAACCAGCGAGCACAGCTAGTCAGCCATGTGGCACCAGTACGCAGCCCACGACCATCACTACCAGTGGTGGTAGGTAAGTGCAAGCGAGAACCAGCAAACAACCACAAAGTTGTCATGTGGGTGAACCATTTACCACAAAGCAAAAGGTGTGTGGGTGAGACATTCACCTCCAGCAGATCTACCACGAAGTCGACGCCCGTCACCTTGTGATCCTCATGGAACACATTCAAAATGGGCCCCCTGCGGCTACTAGGCTATAGCGTCCTCGGCGTCGAGAGGTCAAAGATGTGATAGGTAAGGTGGTTGAGGAGGCACATGACAACAGTGCTCTCGCGCACCACTCGCATGCCCTCCGATGCCGCGTCGAGACCTGGGAGCACGGTGTGGTCGTCGAGCTCCGACAGATCGACCTTGGTGATCTTCTAGGTGGTGACATTGAGTAGCTTCTGACGCGTGGGCGTGGCCTCAGGCGCTGGCTCCATCAGTAGGATCCATCGACAAGGGTGGAAGCGGTGGTTGATGACACGTTCACCGAGCTCACGGTGCTTCTTGGTGCCGCTGCCATTCATCCACAACTTGCACACCAAGCAAAACCACATGAAGTCTCCCACGTCCCACCATCTAGGAGGCGCCCATCGATGTTCTCCACCGCTAGCGGTGGCAAGCCAGCCCAGTCACGCCTGTTTGCATAGGAATCTGCAACGATGGGTGTTGACACCTATGGTGGCACATAGAGACAAAATCCGCAAGCGCACGGGTATCGAAGTAGTTTTCACCCGAAGTATTATCGAGTATCGTATCAATAGGGAAACGTGTGTGTGTTGTCTACTAGTTTGTCCAGGGATAGCAATCAAGGTTTAAGGTATGAGTAGAGAGGATTCCTATGGTTATGACCCTATACAAAGCAAGGCTTATGATTCTAGTGTTCACTTTGGGACGTCGCTTAGACGGTAAAGCACCGCTAATAGATAACTCTACCGACACGACTACGATCCTACTAATTTAAGAACCTACTCAATTCGGCATGGACTACAAAGGATAGACGAGGCTGTCACCTCCCGCTGCTACCACACAACCAAGAAGTAGGGAGCAAACATAGGTAGCTGATAGCCTAAGCACCACACTTATGCTAGCGATTACAACTCTAATCCAGAGATCTAGCAAGGACTAGAGCACTCAAAAGAATTGTGAACCCATGAACAAAAGAGCACAAAACTTACTTTAAATAGAAATCAATTACCAGAAGTATCTCAGATGTAGACTTGGAGAAGCCTAGATCCGCCAAAGTACAAGCCATAGAGGTAGCACCGATAGGCTGGTACCTCCTCTCAACTCCTCCCTCACTCTCTAACTCGCTATTTTCTAGGTACAAGACTAGATCCTATAGAGGACTAATCTTCTCTTGAGAGCTGGCTCTGATCTTGACGAGGAGGATATGAATTAGGGGCTGCTATTTATGAGGGGCGCCAGGCACCCTCTCCCTCTGAATAGCCTCATTGGTACTAAATTTTCCACCATATCTCATTAAAATGCACATGGCCTTTATGGGCCAAATTCTAAATTGGGCCCAATTGATCCCGTAGCTTATGATGTGGAGTTTTTTTTTATTTACGAAATTTATATCTTTTCATTCCGAGCTCTAAATATAGCAAATAATATATCCGTTTCGATCAGCTCGACGAGCTCTCCGCAATGGTGCACTCTAATTCATCATTTTAGATAGTTTTGTTCTGTCAAAAATAAATATCCTGCGAGACAAGTGATAGCACCAAAACTCATGGAACTTGTTAGAATCAAACCCTATAACTATGTTTGGCGATGGAATTAAGCATATATGCAGGTTATGTTGATAGTTTATAATTGATATTAACAACAGCCAACAATGGGGACGACAAACACAAAATTATGAGCTTTATAAGCGACTGACTACACAAGTAAACAGAAGAAATCAACGATAGATCTGGAGTTCTCTCTCGGACAGACGAAATGGATTGAGTTTTGTGAGGGAAGGATGGAGGTTGAGAGCACAAACCATTCGGGACTAACTCTAGCAAGGGAAATGCAGCAGGCGATACGCTTGGACCTCCTCATGGTCGTGTTTGCCATGGTCGTCGCGGCTCATTGCTCTATCGTTAGAGGAGAGAGGCGGGGTGGGGACGAGAGGGCTGCGGAGGCTACGTGCTGACGGAGAGTGAAGAAGGACGAGTGGGGGCTGGCGGCTACGGCTGCCTATTTAGGTGAGTGGTTATAAGGCATAGAGGTGGGCCTGATTTCCTCTCTCTAGCAAAAAACGATCGAGTACTCGGCACGGATCCCCGTCCCTACATACGTCACGTTTTATGTGGCAACACATGTATCGGCCAGGAGCTAGAGGCGGCAGGGTTCAGACGTGCTGCAGGCGTCGGGCCGTAGAGCGCGTAGGCATCGTGTGAGGCATCCGTTTTCGGCTATGAGTGAGCAGGAGAACCCCGCGTTGGTTGGGCGATGCCCTGCCTTGGCCTACCCAAAGGTGGGTAGGACCAGGCGACCAGCAACAGTGTCACTGAGCGTGACGAGGAGTGGGCCCTTTGTTTTGGAAACAGCGCATCCACGCCTTCCAAAACTAGCGGCAAATTTCTGACCAGCGAGCGGGCTAAGCAATGAAGGCAACCAGCGAGCACAGCTAGTCGGCTGTGTGGCACCAGTACGCAGCCCGCAGCCTTTACTACCAATGGTAGTAAGCAAGTGCACGCGAGAACTAGCAACGAGGGGGACAAACAACCACAAAGTTGTTGTGTGGGTGAACCATTTACCACAAAGCAAAAGGTGTGTGGGCAAGACATTCACCTCCAGCAGATATACCACGAAGTCGACGCCCGTCACCTCGTGATCCTCATGGAACTCATCCGGAATGGGCCCCCTGCGGCTACCAGGCTGTAGCGTCCTCAATGTCGAGAGGTCAAAGACGTGACACGTAAGGTGGTTGAGGAGGCACATGACAAGAGTCCTCTTGCGCACCACTCGCATGCCCTCCGATGTCACGTCAGGACCCGGGAGCGCGGCGTGGCCGTCGGGCTCTGGCAGATCGACCTTGATCTTCCGGGTGGTGACATTGAGCAGTTTTTGGCGTGTGGGCGTGGCCTCAGGCGCTGGCTCCGTCAGCAGGATCCACAGACGAGGGTGGAAGCGATGGTCGATCACGCGTTCACCAAGCTCACGGGGCTTCTTAGTGCCGCTGTCTTTCATCCACAGCTTGCACACCAAGCGAAACCGCATGAAGTTCGCCACGTCCCACCGTCTAGGAGACGCCTAGCGTCGTTCTCCAACGCTAGCAATGGCAGGCCAATCCAGTCACGCCTGTTTGCACAGGAACCACCAACCATGGGGATGACAAACACAAAATCATGAGCCAAGTATTTATAAGCGACTGACTACAAAGTACATAGAGAAGAAATCAACGACAAATCTGGAGTTCTCTCTCCAACAGACGAAATGGATTGAATTGTGTGAGAGAAGGACCGAGGCAGAGAGGACGTACCATTCGATATTGACTCCAGCAAGGGAAACGCGGCAGGCGATGCCTTTGACCTCCTCACGATCGTGTTCGCCACGGTCATCGCGGCTCGTTGCTCGGTCGTTAGTGGGGAGAGACAGGGTGGGGACGAGAGGGTTACAGGGGCTACGTGCCGACGGAGAGTCGGAGAAGGACGAGTGGGGGCTGGCGGCTGCGGCTGCCTATTTAGTTGAGTGGTTATAGGGCATAGAGGTGGGCCTGATTTCTTCTCTAGCAAAAAACGGTCGGGTACTCGGCATGGATCTGTATCCCTACATACATCACGTTTGATGTGGCAGCGCATGTAGCGGCCAAGAGCTGGAAGCGGCAGGGTTCAGACGCACTGCAGGCGTCGGGCCGCAAAGCGCGTAGGCGTCGTGTGTGGCGTCCGTGTTCGGATATGAGTGAGCAGGAGCACCTTGCGTTGGTTGGGTGATGCCCTGCCTTGGCCTACCCAAAGGTGGGTGGGACCAGGCGACCAGCAATGGTGTCACTGAGCGTGACGAGGAGTGGGCCCTTCGTTTTGGAAACAGCGCGTCCACGCCTTCCAAAACTAGCGGCAAATTTCTGGCCGGCGGGCGAGCTAAGCAGCGACGGCAACCAGCGAGCACAGCTAGTCGACGATGTGGCACCAGTACGCAGCCTGCGACCTTCACTACCAGTGGTGGTAGGCAAGTGCATGCGAGAACCAGCAACGAGGGGGACAAACAACCACAAAGTTGTCGTGTGGGTGAACTATTTACCACAAAGCAAAAGGTGTGTGGGTGAGACAATCACCTCCAGCAAATCTACCACGAAGTCGACGCCCGTCACCTCGTGATCCTCATGGAACACATTCGAAATGGGACCCCTGCGGCTACCAGGCTGTAGCGTGCTCAGCGTCGAGAGGTCAAAGACGTGACGGGTAAGGTGGTTGAGGAGGCACATGACGAGAGTCCTCTCACACACCACTAGCATGCCCTCCGACGCCGCGTTGGGACCCAGGAGCACGGTGTGGCCGTCAAGCTCCGGCAGATCGACCTTGATGATCTTCCAGGTGGTGACGTTGAGCAGCTTGCGGCGTGTGGGCGTGGCCTCAGGCGTTGGCTCCGTCAGCAGGATCCACCAGCAAGGGTGGAAGCGGTGGTGACGGATATAGCATGGTGGATCTAAAAAAGATAGTGGAGTAGTAGCTATCTGCTAATAACTATCTGTTTTAGAATCAAACAGGTATTGATAGTAGACTGACTAATTATTAGTTGAATCTCTAGATAACAACCATCTCACTAGTTAGACCAAATCAGATAATAACAGCTAATAGGAAGCCAACCTTATCCCTTCGCGTGACAGCCTCGCACTCACACGCTCGCGCGGGGGGTGCTCACCAGCGTCCTCAAGTGCTCGCCTGCCACGCCGCGCCCCTCTGCCCCGCCTCGCTTCCCTTGCCCCACCACCTGCCACGGCGCCACGCCTGGCTTCTCGCAGAGCTCACGCGGCCCTCCTCTGCCTCCATCGCCAGGGCCTCCTCCGCTTGCCGTCGGGCTGCCAGCATGGGGGCCATGCTGCGTCACTACTCCGAGCGGATCCCCTCCAACAGAAATTTCAGTTCTCCACCGCACTCCCATCCCTCTTCACCTACGGCCCCGCCGCGCTGGCCGACCTGAAGCTGACCACCTGTGTGCTCCCATCACCGCCCGCCACCTTCGCTAGGTTCTGCAGCCTGACCATGTTGGACCTCGACTACGTCATATTCTCCGGCGAGAAGGGGTGGGAGCGACTGGAGGCCATGATCTCGACAACCGCGCCGACGATGGAGAAGCTACGGCCGACGAACATCGCCTTTCACCATGCCGTCCCCGACAAGGGCCTCCCTGTCCCTGGCTCCTCCGCTGGCTGAGCTGGGTTCCGTGGCCTGACCGTGCTAGACCTCGACTACGTCATATTCTCCTGAAAGAAGGGGTAGAAGCAGCCGGAGGCCATGATCTCAGCAGCCACGCCAACGCTAGAGAAGTTGCGGCTAGCGAACATCGCCTTGCACCATGCCAGCCTCGGCGAGGGCCTCCCTGTCCCTGTCGCGTGGATCATCCACGTGCCCAACCACCGCTGGCTCTTGGGAGAGCTTGAGATCCGTAACTTTGACTGTTGCCACATTTCATGTGCGTGCGAGCATATATCACCATCAATGCATAAAAGCTTTTCACAGAGGCGTTTTTTTTTATTTCCATAAGCAGGCAAGCGGACCGCCTCTAACAAATGATTCTGTTAATTAGCTAGGTATCCAAACACCCTTACAACTAATAGGTAGATAGTGAATTGTTATCCAGCTAATATTAGCTATGTGATATTAGCTAGCTAACTACTATCAGCTAATGAATCCAAACAGGATCTAATTATTTCAAAATTCGATAAGAAATGTGGGCGAACCAGTCACCACAAACAGGAAGTGTGCAGGCCACTTCCCGCAGCAGCTACTGCTGAAACAACACACTTCGTGCACACGCAGTCAGGCACGGCAGGGTACAGTTGGGATCATAAAAAATATCACTAGAAATTAGCACAGCAACACAATGTACACATTTCCAGAAGGAGATATCATGATTGTTATTAAGTTTATAACAGAACTAAAACAGGTGGAGAAAAGGAATTCTGCAAAAAAACCAATCACTCGGTGCCCTTTCAGCCCCTAGCTCGAAACAACCAACCATACCACACAACAAACTCGAAACCAGTACATCAATGTCCCTATAGAATCAGCCACCACGACAACAACAAATGACAACCGATCAATCTTAACTAGATATAACGAATGGAATAAAAAATAAGCCTACAGGGAAGGAGGAAGCAGTTCAAGGATGTCAGACTATGAACAAAAGAACTCGAAGCCAAACGAATGCTTCTTGGAAGGCAGATGTATTGTATAACTAGAAGGTGGTATTGCTTTCACCTGCAGATATAGAGCTGCCCTCTGACTTCACCACGACCTCTGCCTCTGACTTCACAGCCATGGAACCTTTTCCGATGTCCAGCCCCTGGAGCCGCCCAAGCGAGTCTTGCTGCATCATATCCGAGAGGGAATTGGGGTGGGATAGCATCTGGTGACTCGGGACATTCGGTGGAGGCTGTTGGAAATGATGCGGCAGCTGAATATTTCCATGCTGCTGAACTGTGTGTTGCTCCGAGAGCTGGAAGAATGAAGGGCTGTACGAGACGTGCTGCATTCCCATATTAAATTGTTCGTTGGACTTCGACATCTCACCTGTTACTATCTTAAGCCTCTCCACTTCCTGCTTCAGTGCATCATTTAGAGCTGCATCGGTACGGATATTTCGTCAATAAATAACAGTCATCTGAGAATCAGTGCAATGGTTGCAAAATTTACAGATTGTTCAAGCACTACTAAGTACTAACTAACCATGTGTTGACATGGTACAGCTTCTGAAAAAACAATGCATCAGCTATCTAATATGAAGCTAGGCTGCAACAATGGGACACCCTCCCACATGAACTTATTACGAAAAAATGAATAAATGCTCACCATCACGCAGTTGAGCCTGCTGCTCCATGGCCTGCAACCTTATCTTGAGCTCAGCATTTTCTGCCGAAAGTCCAGTTGTGTCTCTCTGCCGAGTAAACAAATCAGTGTGAAGGATATTAAGCATATTAATACAACAGTAAATTGCATGCCTGGACCCGAAAGTAATATGTCATTCTCGTTTGGGTTGGTCTATTTGGCTCCGTAACATATTTTAGTGATCTTATCCCGGTCCAAAGTAGACATGGGGACGCCTAGAACCCAACATGGCCGTCCATATGGATGCGATTTAAGCAAAAAAAAAAAACTAAGCCAAGTCAAATTTTTATTTCATCGTTCTCCGCTGATGCCTCAATCGTCTGACATGCTCGGCACAGCGAGCCTGAGCGGTTCGGAAATGTCATGGGCCTCCCACTCGAGCACCTCATTGCGGCAGGTAGTCAAAATCAGGTCAACGAGGTTGGGAAGGTGCTAGGGGCCGAGAAGGATCCAGTCAGTTAGGGGGCGGTTGGTCTTCTCTTTCCTCTCATCTCAACGTTGCAATTATCCCTCTTCGTGCTATCTGGCTTGCTTTCCTAGTCGGCATAGCGGCACACTGTTGCTGGCCCGGCACACCTCGCGCTCTAGGTTGCCCTCGCCTTGCTAACCCCGGCCACGTCAGGGCGCTCTACGGCGAACCGCAACACGCTATTGTCGATCCGTGCAACGATGTTGAAGGTGTGGCAAGCCGTGTTCTCATAGTCGATGGGAGCCAATTGTTGTGCTAGCATGTTTGGCATTGCTTGCAACCCCACCACAGGTTGCATCACGGACCACTCCACGGCGAGGCCAACGACATGGTGATGGCCCCTATGTGGAGCGGCCCACGTCAGGGGGTCATGTCCCGGTGCGTGCCTAGGCAGCGGCGATTAACCAGCAATGGGGCGTCGAGGCATGATGACGGCAGGGCGACGACATGAGATCATAGCAGCTCCAATTTAGGCAGTGATTGTCAAGACACGTCAAGTGGGCGCGGTGTCTGGCCGGGCTGTGCACCGAGCAGCAGCATGTGCAGGTGCGGCAAGGCATTGCATGGTGCAGAGCATAGCGGCACGGCTGGCTCTGCCACGGAGGGTTGTCACCGAGAAGTTGCCCGAATGGCGCAATGGTCACACGACGGTGCACCTTCCTCGTCGAAAAAGA